CAAATCATCATATTTGAATATGAAAGATCAACCCATAACTATCCAAAATATTAATGATGGTTAGTGGTCAGCAGTGGAATCCAGGACGTGTGTTTCGTCATATTTGGGACTCATCAGTTGGATATATCTTCCTCCCAATGAATGAGTGATTTTATTCCCACTAAAACCCGAACCTGGGGCTGACTGCATCAAACACCAAAGCATTATCCACTAGGTCACAGAGTCACAATGGGAAGAGTTTTTACATCTTGTTACTTGCATTATCCTGTCGTTGATGAGTCCTAAATAGGACGAAAAGCGTGTCAAGCTGGATTCCACTGCTTGGCACTATCCATCAGTAATACAAAATTGAAACGATAAGGATTCGCACAAGAACCTATATTTCTATAGAGACTGATCATTCGGGTCCAATCAACGACGGGAACGGCCGAGGTTCGGCAGACTAGCATAGATACTGGGTGATGATTGAAGGTGAAATGAACATTGTAGCTCAGTTGGTAGAGGATTGGGCCGCGAGGGTCACTGGTTCGAATCCGGCCATGGTTGAAGTAGCAGCATACCTCAAGACAATCTGAATTTGAAGTTTTTCACTTCAATACATTGACCTATTTATGATGAATGAACAAGATTACTATGGTTGATAAAGATATGTTATATATGATAATGTAAATATGCTGCGAATGTATAGAAAATGACCATTTTTGACGTGACTTTTTTTTGCATTTACGCATTCACTTTTCTAGCTTTTTATATCGATGCAGTAAAGAATGTAGGTCAAGGTTACAGTACAATATAATTAATTAGAATAATGATAACAAGAACTAATATTTAACCATTCTTTGCGCAGACTAATTCGTATGATCAATCTATAAAGACGTTTTCTTAGTCTGCTTGTGTGTGTGTGTGTGTGTGTGCGTCTAGATCACCATTTTCAGCTTGCCCTTATTGTGTTTAGTCACGATAAAGATAACCTGTCTCAAATCATTACTTAAAACCAACTTCCTGTATTGATAGTGGGTGAAACGAAAGTTTGGATTGCGGACGGATTCCAAACAGGCACAACTAGGTTTCTGGTCCGCTGCTCGTAGCTCAGATGGTAGAGCAACGACCCGAAATTCGGTGATCGCTGATTCGAATCCTGTCGCGGTCTGAATTTTCATTTTACCTTCAATCATCACCCGGTATAAATACAGAAAGTTGGTTTCGAACAATGAATCCAGACAGGCTATCATCATAATTGTTTCAAGGAAGAAAGTGGCATTTATTTTCTGAATCGAGGTTTTAGGTAGCAAACGTTTCCATATCAGGCTAGATATAGTCATCAGCAGTGCACCAGAGCTTCACAAGGAAGTAGACGATTCTCTTAGCAATTATGAATATCTACTCACTTCTCGACACCTTTCTTTGATAGCTTGGATACGATTATGCATATTACTTTAGCGAATTTCATGTCGAACATTATTCATCGGTGCTTTGTCTGGTTGAAAGAAGTGAAAGGGTCATCAATCAATGATGTGCCACCACCATTACAGGACGAAGAATAGTTGTTTGTCATTTGACTATCTCAGATAGTAGCCATGATTTGGCAGACTAGTGTTTATAGTGGGTTACGATTGAAAGTAGCCTCGCCTGGTTAATTAGTTCACCAGTAATTAGCCGGTCCTAAGCCCGGATAAAGAGGGAAGGTTGGGAATAGGGCTAGCAACCCTTACCGGGAAAACCATTCCAGTCGCTTAAGAAACTTGAAAGCATAAAGAAGTTATACAATATAAAACAAACTTATTCCTCGCTGGAATCGGAGGGAGTAAATGGCGTCGGTTGGTGAAAGCCTTTGGGAAGCCAGTCGACCGATGTGTCTTCGCTTCTCTCGATGAAAGCAAAAGTAAACATGGGGACATGGAATGTCCGCACCATGTATGAACCTAGCAAGGCCGCCCAGACTGCGAAAAAGATGAGGAAATATGGCATGGAAGTGCTTGGAATCTGCGAAAGGAGATGGAATGAAAATGGACTCTCCAAGCTCTTAACTGGAGAGTCAATCATCAATCTACTCCGGTAGCCCAAACGACAACCACGAGCACACTGAGTTTTGGAGTGGCTATTATGATGTCTCCAAGACCATCGAAAGCTCTCATGCAAAGGGAGCCAGTCTCCTCCAGGATCAGGATCGTGACAGCAAGATTCAAATCAAAAGGAAGGAAAGTCACGATCATTCAATGCTACGCTACGCGCCAGCAAATAATGCAGATGAAGAGAAGAAGGAGGAATTCTACAGACAACTATAATCAGTACTGGAGAAGACACCACCCCAGTTGGCGACATCAAAATTTGAATGGGTGGGGTGACATGAATGCCAAACTGGGAGCGGACAATACAGGAAGAGAACTGATCATAGGTCGAGAAGCACTCGGTGAAATAAATGAGAATTGAGAACTGTTTGCAGACTTCTGCGCATTTAATGATTTGATAACTGGAGTCAGTGTATACAAACACAAGGATATTCACAAAGCGACATGGACTTCACCAGATGGATATACTTAAAATCAGATCGATTTCATCTAAATCTCAAGAAAGTGGAGATGCAGCCCATTTGACACAAGATTAGATCAAGAAGAAGAGCAGAAGTAGGTTCACACCACTCACTATCTAGTGCAACGAACCTTCAAAATCAAGTCGAAAGCCTTCAAAGTGGTTGGTGATAGAACACAGTTCGGGTTCAACACCCAGGACAGAAACCGAAAGAAGAAACTACAAAGCACATCACGTCAGCTGTCAGAACAAAATAAGAGGCACTGAGCAACATCCCTGAAAGGTCGAGCGTAGAAGAACACTGGAACTCTGAAAGCTATGTGGAGGGAAACCTGCATAACCGTATTAGGAAGGAAGAAGAAATAAGACAAGGAATGAATCTCGAAGGACATAAGGAAGCTGATAGAAGAGAGGAAGATGGTGAAGCAGAAGATGAACCAGTGCAGTGCAAGGATGAACAACGAAAAGAGGAATTGAGTACAACCTATAAAAGACTACACTGGACAAAGAAGTGAAGAAGAGTGCGTGCAAAGACAAAAGACACTTCTACGACACTTTGGCAAGTGAAGCAGAACAGGTTGCAAGTAGGAGAGACAGAGACCTGACAACACTATCAAATAACCCGGTTACTATCTGAGATTGAAGAGATCAACTCATATGAAACCAATGAAAGATAGATGGTGAAGGGGACTTAGTTACCAAAGAGGAGAAACAAACGAGACGATGGGCTGACCACAAGAAAACACTCTCGAATCGAATCATGCTGCTTTACACACCAAGTGAAATATTAGGCCGCATCATCCTGAAGAGACCAAACGATGCACTGGATTCAAAATTACGACCAAAACAGGCTGACTGGCTACCTTCAGGAAAAACAAAGCATGTGCGGGTCAAATTGCGACGCTTCGCTACGCATCATCATAGAACAGAGTACAGAATGGCAGTTAACTCAACTCAACCTCAAATTTATCGACTTTGAAAAGGTCTTCGACAGCGTCGACCGAGAAATAATTTGGGAGGGAGTTGCTTCACCACTACGGAGTGCCACAAATCCTTATCAACCTCATTCAACAACTATTTGAAGACGCCACATGCCAAGTGATCCACAATGGAAAGCTCAGTAACACCTCTGAAATGAAGACAGTAATAAGACAAGGCTGTCTACTATCAACGATGATCTACCTGATTCTAGTGGACTGGATCATGCAACAAACAGTGAAGAGCGAGAAGATGGGCATACGCCGTTTGACCGATAAAAAGATCCTAGGAGATTTGGATTTCGCCAACGGTGATGATTTATATCTAATATCTTATGTCGCACAATCTCAAAGATCCACAGGCAATAACTAACAAGTTGATACAGTTGAAGAGACAGGGCAGGGCAACGAAAATATGACTTCAAGTGAATGTAGAGAAGACAGAGGTGATGAAGACACCCAACTAACAACAGCATCAACAGCAAGCAAAAATCACCATTAATGGGAGAAACCTAAAGGGAGTAGCCTCTTTCACCTACCTACCTACCTACCTAGGCAGCATTGTTACAACTACAGGCGGTGACACAGGTACAGACGAGGATGTCAAAGCCAGGATCGGAAAGACAGCAAGACAGGCATTCCGGCACTAATCTGAAATCACTATGGAGATCTTCTGCACTCAGCATAAAGCGTGAACAACATCCGGATTTTCAACACTAATTCAGTCAAGTCAGTGCTGCTATATGGTTCAGAAACTTGATGCGTCACGAAAAGCACTTCCAATAAACTACAGACATTCATCAACAACTGCCGTGTACACTGGCTCGATACTGGAGATCAGATGGCTAGAACAATAAGAATAAGCAACAGGGAACTCTGGCCTGGCAACGAACCAACGAAGTAAGAACCTATCACCCAACAAATATGCAAAAGGGGGAAGTGAAGATGAATTGGATTGGGCATACACTGAGAAGGCCAACTGAGGATATCACGCACCAGACCAGGGCATCGAGTGGAATCCAAATCGAAAACGACGAGTTGGACATCCGACGGTGACATGGAGATCATGTGAGGAAGAAATGAAAGCTTGTGGGCAGTGGTGGAGCCGTTTTATAAACATTGACGAGAAGAGAGTGAAATGGCGCTGTGCTACTGAAGCCCTATGTTCCACTAGGAACCAAAGAACAAATAATATAGCAATAATAATCTATACACTGTATGGTACTAAGGCCTGTTGTGAAGTAATGTAATGATATGTGGAATAGATATGCACTCAGCTATCACATGCACACTGATGAACCACACCTATTGCATGAGGGCATATGATACTTCCTGGCTGCCTAGATCTCCGCGGGTTGGGTGGGATTCGAACACATGACCCACTGGTTGACAGTCGAGAATGTAGTCCTAACATATATATATATATATATATATATATATATATATATATATATATATATGAATGACGAAAAGAGGAAATACTCATAAACTTACCAGTTTCGATGCAGGTAACATAGAAGGATAAATTCCTTGATCCGTTGGTGTAAACTGATAACTATTATTAGTTAGTGGACTTATGCTGGAGGAAAGTTTTGGTTGTGCTGATTGTTGCTGTTGTAAGGTAAGTGATAGTTGAGATTGAATATATTCTTGTACAATTTGAGGTAGACTAACACGAAGCTGTTTAATGAATGATCAATTATCATTGACATAGTGTAAATTGGAAGTAAGAGAGAAAAAAAAGGTAGAAGTGCATATTACGCATATGATATAGATAGAATTTTCGATGAGATTTCATAAACTCGACAAAAAAAATGATGAATATGAACACTGGAGACTTACACACTGTACCCATCAACTATTTACTTTCCAACAACATATTAAAGTGGAATAGTGTAGAAAGACTGTAGATTTTTCATGAGGAGTATTATTGAAGTACCAAATGAGAGTGCTCACACTTCAGTTTGGTACTGAAATCTTAATTGAAAAAATATTTGAAACTTGGGGGCAATGGACAGCTGTTTTATCCTAGCACGGAACTCGTGAGCAGTGTGCACCAATTACCCCGTCCACCCCGCCAGAAATCGAACCCAGGACCTTCAGATTTCATGGCCAGCACGATATCATTGAGCCAGTAGGTCGGAATCCAATGGTTCATATTTCCTACTTTTGTCAGTCCACGATATAGCATGATCTCCACCCAGTGCTGTTGTTGAGTAGCGTGCTGGCTGCGGAACTTGGAGGCCCTGGGTTCGAGTCCTGGTGGGGTCACCGGTGTGCACTCCAGAGGACTCTCATACTAGGACGAAACAGTTGTCCAATGCATCCAGGTTTCGTATGTTTCTTTAACTGTGATGTCAGTTTATGATGAATACCAACCTGAAATCAATAAACAAATCGCCACAAACCTCTAAGTTGGAGTGATTAGATTATCTGACAAAAAGGGATTTTTTATCCATAATCTCTGATGAAAGAGCCCATCAATAAACAGCAACTGTTACCCACTGGACAAGTGGCTGCTCTCATGGCCCAATGGATAACGCTTTGACGACTGAAAAGATGGATACTAGGTTCGAGTCTTAGTGGGGATAACATCACTAATGATTAGGGTGCAAATACATTCAGCTGAGTGAGCGAAAAAATAGGACGAAAAGCTCGCCTTGGATTCCACCAGTAGCTATTGAATGGTCAACAATAAAATTTCAGCTTCTATTTCCGTCCTCATCAGCTGGATGTACCTGCTTTCCAGTGAGTGATATTGTTCCTACCGGGATTCGAACTCGGGGCCGATCGCTTCAAACGCCAGAGCGTCATCCAAAATGCCCATCCTGGATTCCACTGCTGGCCACTATCCTTCATTACTATAATTAAAACACATGCAATATCAAGGCATCCACACAGGAGCCCATATACCAGTAGAGACCGATCAATTCGGTCCAATCAACGACGGTACGATACAAGCAATCAGAACGAGGGGAGTTTACAGCTAGTATCCATTTTCCGCTTCTTTTAAATGGTCACACAAACAGGTTGCTCTCGAACATCCTCCAGGGTGGTTAATCAAAGGTGTGATAAAGACCATTATCAGCTTCATATTACCACGCTTAGTTGGAATGAATCATAAAGTGGATCCTTCCAACTGGAGAAGCAGTAGAAATCAGGATGAAACAACGTAAGTTGTATGTTCAGGAAGAGCAAGTGTTGTCGCTACAAGTACAGTGGTCCGATTTGGAACGCACAAATTTATTAGCATACTATCCTACACAATCTAATTCCATACTGTAAATACCTCTTCTTCCCTATAATCTGAAATAATTTTAACAAATTCTCTCCACCTATTTTGTCCTTCTTAGTTTATTTCATCCAGTTATCATAAACACCTTCCTGTTGTTTTATTAAACTATCAACTTACAGTGTTACACACGTTTAGATAATCAATTACCTTTGGTTTGAATCTCAATAACAATTGATGTTCTACGTCTGGTCTGCTGAAAGTACTCCCAGTTTAATGATATGAAGTGAACTGGTGGAATGTACCGACCCCTTCACTTACTTGGGGAGTTGTATCAGCCTCAATGGACTGGTTGCTGGGGAAATCTCAGCTCGGATACACAAGACCGATTCGGCATATGCCAACTTACGTCATGTATGGCTCCGGCCGGCTAGATATCCAACTATCTATCAATGGATGAGTAACCTATGCTTCCATCCGTACTGTGTAAAGCTGTGAGATATGGTCGTTAAAAGTAGAAGACATGAAGCGGTTACAGTATTTTAATAACCGATATCTTCGTTTAGTGGGATCACCGTGTGAACAATGTTGAGGTCAGACGAAGGGTACTAGGCAGCGAAACAGGTAAGTAGATTGATGACGGCTTGGACGTATGCCACGCATGTCAATCTACCGCCTACAACGACATGCTAGGGGAAGTTGGATTAGGTTATAAGAGGGTTTGGGGTGTCCAGACCAACACGTGGCACCAGTCCATGAAGTCTCTTTCTGTTGGACTGAACCATGTAGGGAGATGTACACTGCCTGATTTGGGGTCACCAAGGCAACAGAAATCAGTGGTTGTGGACTCTTGGTGAAATGGCTGGTCTTAGTGGCACAGATGTATTTACTATCTGACGTCTTCTTAAGCTTGTATACTTGCACCAACAGTTATCTCTCTCACACCACTTTATCTACATTGATATTACTCCTTTTCTATCTACTTGTTCTTTTTACACATTGATATGAAGTGTGACAAGTTGAAACAATGGACTTGTTTGCAAAGTTTCACGTTGATTTCATCTGTCTGTCTATCCAAAGGTCGATTAGTGTTAAGTTAACTTTCTCGCATCCAAACAACACAAACTGGTTAACTACCTTTATTGAAAAGACGGTAAGTAGATTAGTTACTGTAACCTCCATCTAATTCTCGAGTTGAGTTTATATTGCGATGAATTAACTTAACCAGATAGCTAGTGCTATGAAATAAGAACAGTTACATATGTTTTATTTGCATTGATTAATGGCTGAAGAAAAATTCAAACTTCACAGTTAAAATTTCTTGAGAACCACAGTTAGGTGAAAGAGACTAAGTTTGAAATCTTGAACAAAGGAAACGCACTCAATCATCGGGTATACTTTCGCACAGTAGACAATGAGCTACAGTTATTGTATGTGGAAGTTAATGAAACTATTTAGCTGCCCAAACCTCAGCAGATGGAGTAGTATACGAAACTATGACCCATTGGATGAAAATCAACTCCCTAAACCAGGAAGCCATAACTCCACAGGTTTAAGATGCCCTGCGATATAGCGTAAAAATAACCTATCTAGTCTCATAATATTTTTATAATCGCTTTTCATATCATCCAGTCGAATTTCTTTTCTTCTGAAGTAAGATGACCGACCTGTTTATCTGATGACTGAACGTGTTCACAATTTTACAACAATATCTAGCACACTGAATATAAGTTATCATTATTAGTACTATTATTTCAAGTTCGTATTCATCATGAACTGACATCAGTTGGAGGAATATTGGGAACCTAGAAGCACTGGACAGCTGTTCCGTTCCAGTATGGGACCTTTCGTGGGTGCTCCACAGGTCGAACCCAAGACCTTAAAGTTCAGACCTAACTGGAACTGCGTGGGTGGAATCCAATGGTTCACATTTCTAACTTCTGTCAGTTCGTGATATATCGCGATCATCATCCATTGACATCGTTGAGTAAGTGTCTCCACGCCCAACAGGTTTGCTCTACCGATCACGACTTCTCATTGGAACTTACGGAGTCACCTCTCGAAGTGTGTCACCAATGAGCATTATATTAATTCAGTTTGGGAAAATCTGAAGGTCCTGCTTTCGGTTCCTGGCGGGCAGGGACATGGGTACGCACTGCTGAGGAGTCACATATTAAGACGAAATAGTTGTCTAGTGCTAGCAGGTTTCCAGTGTTCCTCCAACTGATGTCATTATATGATGAATACCAACTTCAAGTCAATAAATCCCCATAAACTTACACAGCTAGCAAAGTAAGCACTGTTACTATTTCTAATAACTCAATCCAGGTAGTAAGTTCAAACAGAGACTTTTTGAAAATCTTTTAAAAGTATTTTCACTTCAACAGTGCAAATTGTACATTGTAACTTCCAACACTAATTTCTAACTGATAAAGCAACGTTCAGGATATTATCGTTTGAACACGGAAGATGGAAAATCCACTCATCGGGTAGTACACCTAGGCCACCCAACAGCAGCATGCAACTCCCCGTTAGACTGTATTAGGAATGAGAAAGTCGAATGCTGATTTAATACAAAGTACAGAAGAGTTTAAGAAGCATGGTACTATCCAAATTAGTGTTGACGCAATATCCGATTACCTATTAAGGGTCGAATGTACTGCGCTCCAGTCCCCTCTATCCTAATCTATGACTGTGAAACATGGTAATTAAAGATAGAGGACATGAAAAGACTTCAGGTGTTTGACCAATGCTGCCTTCGTAGCACAGGCCGTGTTTCATGTGGTCACCACGAGAGTAACTCAGAAGTCAGACGTAGAGTTTTAGGTAGGAGAGGTGAGACAGTTGATGTGGTTGTGAACCTTCATCGACTGAGATGGCTGGCTGGGATATGTATTACGTATGACTAGCCACCCTCTACCTGGTTGCACAACGTTGGCCGAAGCAGGTTCCGGCTGGATAAAGGCTCGGGGCGACCACACTAAAACATGGCATCAATACATGAAATCCTTGACTGTTCATTTGAGCCATGTAGGGCGGTGGAGACAACAGAAACCAGTGGTTGGAGACTGACTGTATGTGATATGGCTAAGAATCGATGACAGTGGCACAGATGCATATATACATTATCCTAATCTTGATCATTATACTGAATTCAGTATTTCTTCATTCCTTCTTCTTCTCTTTTATTGGTTCCCATTGCTTTTAACCGATTTCTGTTTCTTTTTCCTTCTTACCCCTTTGTTGCTGATTGTGCTGACATGAGGTATGGCAACTTGAACTGTTGTACACTAGTGTCTGGTTCAAAGTTAATCTAAGGAAGCAGTAAAGTTATCGGGTTATGGTATGTGTGTGTGTGTGTGTGTGATGGTATTCATACTATTGAAAGGGAGTGATGATATCATCGTGGTTGTGAGTTTTACAAATTCCTAATGAAGGCAGCCAACTG